AAAGACAAATTTTAAAAAAGGTGTTCAAACAAACAGAAGGATCCATGAGATTCATAGGATGATGGGTTTACTTAATTATTTTCTTTTTTACAACTCACGTGAACAAATTCTGCTCCTCACTTCAAACGTATTGTAGCTATTGACTGACCAATTCCACATTTTGAGGCTGACTATTCTACTCCAGGAATTGTGGACCAGGAATTTGTGTTTAACTGCTCAGGACCTGCAGCTCTCAGGTTACTTCTCAAACAAATTGTGGCCCTTTAGCCAAAGTGAGGGAATTGCTCTGCTTGTCCTTCTAAGCCCTTCTTCTCTTGTCTGATTGATGAAGGGACATGTCTGGTCTAGCCCTTGGAAAAGCAAATTCTTTGGCAGGTGAAGGGTTTATGAAATTTGGCATTGAGGTTTTCTTTTCCCTACTGTTTAACTGAACTTGCACTGAAGGGTTTGAGGGCAGAAAGCCCATGTCCCGGAGGCAACAATGGAAAGAGGGTATTGCTGTCATGCCGTAGGACCAGGCAGCAGACAGAAGGACAGCTTCCCCTGGTGCAGACTTGGCCAAGCACCACAGGAAGTGCTCCCCTTTTCCCAGAAGGGGTTGGGTGAGGTCACAACTCAGCAGGAATAAAGGAGGAGTTTGTTGATTGCCTCAGGACCAGGACTACAGGGACCTCAGGTGCTGCTTCTGTCAAATGTGGGTGCAGCTCAGTGATTGAAGCACAAGCTTAGCATGCGGGAGTCCCAGGCTCCATCCCATAACTGAAATAAATCATCAGGATGGTCATGTGCTGAGTGAGTCTGCTCCTCACCTCCCCTGGGGTGACTGTGAACATGGAGGTGGAGGAAGTGATTTTGCTCCAGACCAGCTCCAAAGTCTCAGCATCCCTTCCTTCCAATGAAAAAATTTGGTGCCCCGCCCCAAGGATCTTTGGCACAGATATCCAGGGGGCCCTAAGACCTCATGAGTCAGGGTGCAGGACTAGATAAACCCCTACTGTGGGAATCCAGGCCTTTGCCTTCTTACGAAAGCCACCCACCAAGAGAAACCAAGGTAGGAGAGAGATGAACTGTTGTTCTCACATTCTACATGGGGAAACTGAGTCTCTGGGAGCAGAGGTGAGGGTGGGGAAATGGATGTAACAGAAACCCCACAGCAACCTCCAGAGGTTGATATGAACCCTACTTGGTGAGGAGTGGAATATGTATTTGATAGAGGTACTGAATGTAGCCTAGAGAAAGAGCAGAGAACCAACAACCCATGACAAATCAGTGTGGACTTGAACCCAGGGTTGCTGGGCTACACCATCCATCCAAATCCCAGATGAGATGGAGGCTGGCACCCTAACCAAGGAATCTGACCCTCCTGGCCTTGCCCAAGCTCAATCTGTCCCAGCTTTGATGAATGAGGTGGGTGCTTCCTCACAACTGACTTGTTCCATCACACTATAAACCAGTTTCTCCTACTTTGGGGTGAGTCAAAGGCCAGGATGGCCCTGGGTTTCCTGTGAAGACAAGATAATTAAAAGAAGAGGAAGAAGATGTATGGAAGCTGGGAGGGGTGGCTCACACCTGTAATCCTAGCCACTCAGGAGTCTGAGATCAAGAGGATGGAGGTTCTAGCCCAGACAGGACAAAAGTTCAGAAGACCCCATCTCATCCAATAAAAAGCTGGGCACAGTGATGCATGCTATAAGGGAAGCATAAATAGGAGGACTGAAATCCAGGCCAACCTGTGCATAAATATGAGACCCTATTTGAAAAATCACTAACAAAGAAGGGGGTGGGTGCCTGGCTCAAGTGTGTAGCCTAGACTGGACCCTCCTGGCTCCACCTCAGGAGTGCTGGGATTATAGGTGGGCACCACCACACCTGGCTGCTAAAGTGAACAATCCAGTGGTATCAGGCATGCTCTTAACATCTCACTCTGTGGCTGTGAGCATTTGGGCACATGTTTTCTTATGGTTGTAGATTTTAGCTCTGCAACCCCACCAAAAAATTCCCCAAAAGGACTGAAGCAGGGTGCAGAATGATCAGAGACTCAGGTTTCTTCATCTAGCCGGTCTGCTGGGTGGGGGTGGCTCTCCATCTTGATCCCCAACTTAAGATTTCTCTCCTCTCCATGTGTCTTCCTTACCATTTTCTCCTCTCTTGCCCTCACATCCTTTGGATTTTGCTTCACAAGCATGCCTTTGAAGATCCACATCTTCTCTGTCCCATCACCACCACAACTCCAGGCTAGGGCCACCACTTCTTTTCTTTTAATGACTTAAAACCAACCATGCCCCTCCTCATTGCCCACAGCACAGAGATGAGGACCACGGCTGGGCCCACAGGCTCTGGCATGCAGTGGTGCTGCCTAGGCCTCCAGAGTTTCCTTCCTAAGCCCCGCTCTCCTCTCAATTGCTCTTCTGGTGCAAGCCTTTGCAGCTGTACCCTCTGCTTGCCTGGGGTTCCTCTACCACCCCTGCACCTGATCTCTGCATCCACCAATGCTCACAGGTCACTTCTTCAGGTGGCCCTCTGGACCTCAGTCCTCTGTTCCTGTTGTGGTAGGCTGTGAGCATGCCCCACCTGGGGTACTCACTGGCCCACTGTGGAGGGAGGCAGCCAGGTGGCAGTGTTTCTCCTACCTCTGACTTTGCATGTAGCATTGGCTTAACAGATACTGAAGAAATGAGTGAATGAATGAGTGGTGAAGGAATGAATGTCTGAAGGCCAGCTGGGCTCTTCTGTTCAGCCCCCACCCTCCTGTCAACTCCAGGGCTCCCTAGAAGCTTCTTGCCCTCAGCCTGGCAGTGACTGTGTGTGTGTGTGTGGGGGGGGAGGGCACTTGCGGGAGCAGGAAGGGTGCTGCAGGCCAAGTCTCCCTTCTCAGGTGGCATCCCGTCCTACCCCACCCTTCCAGGCCACACAGTGACCGCTCCCTGCCCTCTGCTGCCTGCCAGGAACAGCTTGTCCTATGAACCATTGCTCTAGATTTTATTTTTGTGGTTTTCTCTCAGCCCGCTGAGCTTGCCCTGTCTTCCTGTAGAGTGGCAGGAAAATCCCAGAGCTGGAGAAACCTAGAGCCTTTCACAGACCTTGTGACTGTGACTGGGGCCATCCTAGTGTCCTCAGCCAGTTTCCACCGGGTGCTCTCCTGCATGTCCCAGCCAGCTAAGAGGCACATGCATGCTGGATCTTGTCACATCAAAATCATGCTGTGATCTGGGCAGTGTTTTGAAAAGACAGTAAGACATTTCAGTATGCGAGGCTAAGAACAGGGGTCACTGGTGTGTGACATATGGAAACTCTTCTGTGATCCTCACAATTTTCTGTAAAACCTAAAAACTGTTTTCTTTTCCTTTTTTAAAATAAAAAAATTTTTGGGGGCAGTTCTGGGGTTTGAACTCAGGGCCTCATGCTTGCTAGGCAGATATTCTACTGCTTAAGCCACTCCACCAGTCCTAATTTTTCTTTTTTTTAAGTTTTAGCCAGGTGTGGGGTGTGTATGCCTGTCATCTTAGCATTCAGGAGGCTGAGGCATGAGGATGGAGAGTTCAAGGCCAAAACAGTGAGACCCTGTCTCGAAAATAACAATAAAAGACTGGAGGTGTGACTTGGCTCAAGCAGTAGAGTGCCTGCTTTCCAAATGTGAAGCCAAGTTCAAACCCCAGTCCACCAAAAAGAAAAGAAACAAAACAAAACAAAAACCCAAATAATATGGTATGATATGATGTAATATAATGCAACATAATATAATAATAAAGTGAGAGAACCAGATACAAAATGTCTCATAGTATGTGACTCTATTGTTAGGAAACATCCAGAGCAGGTGAACCCACAGAGACAAGAAGTGGAGTGGTGGGTGCCAGGGGATGGGGTGATGAATGTTCTGGAATTAGAGACGGTGGTTGCATAACCTTTTGAATGTACTAAAAGTCACTGAAGAGTACACTTTAAATGGGCGAGGTATGGCATGTGAATTTTATCTCAAAAAACTGTTGTGTAAAAAAATCAAATCCCCACCGTCCTTGGGAGTACATTCCCACGTTGTCTGCACGTCCCCAACACCATGCTAATTTCTGCCCGACGGTTTGCGGGAGTTTTCTTTCTTCTGCCTCTCGCGCAGCTGCTGGGCCTCTCCCCCCACTCTCGCCCCCACCTCAAACAAAGCCGCACCTCCGAGGACCACGCTCCTCCTGCGAGGAGCCACGCCCTTCCAGGAACCAAACTCCAACCCTTCGGGCAACAAGCCCTCGCCCTTTCGGACCCTGCAGTGGTAACGTGGTCTGCTTTGTTCTTGCTGATCTTCTCCTGCACCATTCTACCTGCTTGTGACCTTGCCTGGCTCCTCAGATCCCCTCAGGGTAGTTTAGCGCAGGAGGCGCGCAGCGGCGCGGATGCAACTGGGATTCCAGTCACCGGCTGCCGACCTTCATCACTGGGCAGTCTCTCTGCCCTTCCTCTCCTGCCTCAGGATGTGAAGCCTGCCCTCGGCATAGCTCCCCGCCCTGTTCAGAAGCCTGCATACAGTAAGACGTTTATGGCTGAGGGGATAGACCCCAGAGGAAGGAGGGAGATGACCAGGCCTGGAAGGTTTGAATCCTTTGTGTCAATAGCATTGGCCCATGGTAGCTGCAAGTGTCCACCTCCGCAAGGGCACTGTGTGCAGTCAGTCCCTCCCTTAGGATCTCGGCATGCCCCTGCCGGATGCAAAGCAGGAGGTGATCCCGTTTACAAGAACGCCCAAGTGGCATGTTGTCAGGAAGCCCAATTCACACAGGAAGATTTCTTCCCAGCTCCGAGAATGCAACTGTCCCAGTGCAGAATCCCTATCTCACCATCCTGCACAGTAATGACACAAAAGCAGGGCACAGGCAAGTTTTTTTTGACTTTTATTAAATCCTTACAAAACAGAATAGAAAATTCTGGCATTGACAGTTGGTGTAAAGGAACTTTCGAGCTCTATTAGTTCACCTGGTACAATGGAGTTAAAGTGCTTGGATGTCTTCGCCCACTTAAAAAAATTTTTTTTGTTGTGTGTCTTTTTAAACATCTTAACATCGTTAGCGATTAGCCCCTTCCCCAGCACCCTGAGCTGGCTTGAGGCGTCGCTCCAGGATAGTCTACTCATTCACAGTAAAGGTTCTGACCAGTCCTCCAGGTTGTAATGGAGGCAAAAGGGAGAGGAGAGAAAATGACAGCCCCACCCGGGGAGGGGGGGAATCAAAAGCTGCTTGTTATTCAGCCTTCCAGAGTAAGGTGGCATGGGCACCTGCAGTGGGCAAAGGTCCGTTTGTTCTTTTATACAAAAAAGGCAGGGAATTTCCCAGGTGCAAAACATGGAATCACTGAGGGTGGTGATAATGAGGGGACTGGCAGCTCCCCCCACCTCCAGGGGTCTTTGGAAAGGCCAGTTCACGGATACAGGTCAGTGGAGGCCAGGAGAAGACATGTAATCTCTCTCCCCCCTACTGGCCACCAGACTGTGACAATCCTACAAGACTGAGGGGGACAGTGGAGGTGGCTGGGCAGATGGTGCCCGAGCCCCCCCTCCACCCACGAGGCCCCTCTGACATTCAAGTATTCTTCAAGAACAGGGAAGCAACTCAGATGATATTAAAAAAAAAAAAAATCCTAAATGCGACGAACAATCTTGGCCACAGAGTTCGAGGCCAGGGTGCTTCGGTCCCTGCCCCAGAGACACCTGAGCAGACCCAGGGCGGGCTGGTGCCCCAGCTGCCGCCCCCTGACCAGCAGGGCCGCGTGCATGTAGAAAATGGGAATCATATTGCATAGTAGTTCACGGCCAGGTCCAGGCAGTGGTCTCCCCAGCCCAGGGGCTGGCTGACCAGGCCTGGGTGGAGCTGGGGAAAAGTAGGGGACCCTCTAGTAGATCGATCATCCCTGGGCGCCCCAAGGACAGACGAGGCAGCAGTGGCCCTTTTCCTGAAGGTTGGCACACCCAAATCACTGCCCTTAGGGGTGGGGAAATCTGGGGACTGCTGAGTCTGGCCCCAGTTTTGGGACAAGGGGACCAACAGAATTTCCAAATGCCAGACTCAGGGGCAACGTGGGGCAGAATGTGGCCATGGTCAGACTGAACCCTGAGAAGGGGCACTCTGGTGCCCTGGGGTGGGGGGGGACACTCTGGGACCCCACATTGGTGGATGGGCACCTGTCCAGTCTTCACCCATCTTGGTGGAACAGGGGGACAAGGGCTTCGTGGTGAACCCTTGGTCCAGCTTCAGTCACTGCTGGAGGGAAAGTAGGTGGAAGGGGGCAGTGGGTGTGTCCTGTGTCAGTTGCAGTTTAAGGTCAAGTCAGAGTTCTAGTCCAATGGGCAGGGGCTTGCTCACTGTTCAGACAGGCCTGGGAGGAAGTGCCGATTGTCAAATTTTACCAGTACAGGGCAGATGGGCAAGCCCCGGCCCAGAGGCAGTGGGTGAGCCACCATCCACTCTGCCTGCCAGACCCTCCCTCCAGAGACAGGGATCCCTCGCCCTGCCTAAGCCACCAGGGCATTCTAGGGGTGAAGAAGGGACTACTGTCCTGTCACTGGGAGGGGAGCCTGTCCCTGAAAATATTGAGGGCTGGGAAGGGGTACATGGGGCTGGCAACCCTGTGGGTCCCTCCAGCACTGGAAGATGGCCAACTGGCCAACTGAAGTGGGAGGGGGAAGTGTTAGGCAGGGTGCAGGTGGCTGGGCAGGGCACGGAGACCTTCACAGTACAGGTGAGCATTGCAGGGTGCAGTGGGCGCTTACCCAGCCATGCGCCCTCCACGAACCCTCCTGTATCCTCCCGGGCACTTGCTTTGCTTTTTAACACATTAAAAGGAAAAAAACAAAACATAAAAACAAAAAGGGGAATGGGAGGGGGAGGAAAAACCCCAACAGCAAAAACCTATAAAAAACCACCCCCAGCTGACTTTAGCTCCTGGGAATGCAGCCAGAGGGGAGGGCAGCCCATGGTCCCAGCTGCCCATAGCTTAAAAACCTTTTAGACTTGACAGAGAAAGGGGTGACTTATGTACAGATGGGAACCATGAGGAGGTCACGCACGGTCCCCCACGAGGACCACCGGGGCAGTGGACAGGCTGGCTCTCTGCCGCCGCTGGGCCAGCTTAGACTCAGAGGGTGGAGACAGCTGCAGGCAGCGTGAGGTAGCACGGATGACAACGGGTTGGTCCTGCCCAGAAGCCTCCTCGGCAGCATCCTCCTCACGCTGGGCCAGCTGCCTGTTCATGGCAATGGCCTCGGCTGCGAAGGATGTGAGGTCTTTGGCACAGCTGTTCCTGGGGGATGGGTCAGGGATGGTCACTGAGGATACACCCTTTCCTGCTTCCCTCCAGGGACTACGGGGATCTGCATAGTGCCCTGGGTGGGGGCTACAGGACTCCTCCCCAGCACTCAGGCCTCTCCTCTGGGCATCAGGATCCCAGCTGGACTTCTATGGGTCATCTGGTACAAGGACATACAAGTACTTAGGTGTCTTTTCCCCATTGGTTTTTGTGGTCTTTTAAACTCCGAACAGGCTGGAGGTGTGGTTCAGTGGTGAACGCTTGCCTGGCATGTGTGAGGCCCTGGGTTCCACCCTCAGCACCACAGAAAAAAAATCCATACATTTAACCCCCACCCACTCCCTGAGCCCCAGGGGGTGCTCACCTTTGCAGGACCATAGGTGTGGGCAAGGTGTTCTCAGGGCACACTGCAAGGAGACAGCAGAGCCAGGGACTAGAGAACATGCCAGCCTGCCCCAGGGTCCCCTGCTGTCTCTGGTGTCCCTAGGGCTGGCCAAAGTCATGCCAAAGGACATGTCAAGTTCACCCCCATTACCAGGCCTCCACTTGAGCCCAAGAACATAGTCGGATGCCCTATGCACCAGATCTTCACCTGTCCCTGTATGCATGCTGGGGAGAGTGGGGCTCTTGACAGTCTCCAGCCCAACCCACCCAGTCCCTCTCACCTCTTCCTTCTCAGATTCTCTGGTAAGGGGTCTGGAGTTGCCCCCTTGCCTGTGGACTCCAGGAACCACAGCTTCTATTATTAAGAACGCCTGCTGCCCTGGTGGCCTCCCTCCCCTGGGTGGCAGCTTGGCTTCAATGACCTCTGGCTTGGAGTGGGAGTGGGCCCTGCACTGGGAGACTAGAGACTACTCTAATTGGGTCAGTCCCTGCCCCTGAGATTAGCTGCCCATCTGTTGCCTTGGCTGACCCCAGCTTGCTGCGCTCTGGATGGCTCCATGGCTGTCAGGCACCAGCACAGCTGGGCCAAGATTCTCTGAGCAGCTGGCCATTAGATGGGCAGTGGGGATTTCAGCTGCCCACCCCTTGGCATGCGGCTATGCCTTGGGATCTTAAGCCCGTAGTGGACTCCACTGACCCACACCAAGGTCTTGCTTTGTCTTGGAGTCTCTACACAGGACCGGCTGGGGTTCTCATATGCTTGCTGTGAGACAACCATGGACATCAGAGAAAGCTATAGCTTAGGGGACGTGGGTGTCCCAACCCTCCTTAGCCCCGGGACTCACCCCTTGCACCCAGGGGTGCTGCAGAACTTGGGCAGCACTCAGCCTCTGCTTAGCATCACGGACAAGCAGCTTGGAGATGAGGTCTTTGGCGGCGAAGGAGATGTGAGCCCAGTCCTTGTCCGGAAATTCATATTTGCCCTCCTGGATGCTCTCAAACAGCATATTCTGGGGGCAGGGTATAACGGCATCAGTACAGCCATGTCAGGGATATGTCTTCTACCACTGGGGACTGACACACAGCTCTGTCAGGGCCCTCAGACTCAGCTACATGGTCCTAACCTGTAACTCAGATTACCCAAACTGTAGGGTGTATGGAGGGCTGGAGAGGGTCCATGGTTTTGAGCCCAGTTGGGGGTGGAGTCGGGGGGGCAGAGGAAGATGAGGGACAGACATCCAGAGGTAGCTTTTAAGGCTCTGCCCATGTGTGGTTTGATTTACAAAGAGGCAGTTTGGGAGCGTGGCTCCCAGGGAGACCCAGAGTCATGAATACTAAAACTCATATTGTGAACACAAGGCCCAGCTGGTCACTCCAAACCACATGATTCCCTTCTTCTCAAAGCTTCCTGACCTGTATTTTCTCCCATGGTGTTCCTGGCAGACTCTTGCATGGGTGTGTGTGTGTGTGTTTTTAAGTGGGGGTGGAACATGAGACTGGGCTCCTGGAGGCGAAGGGACCACACATGGTGAGCCTGGGTATACACGTGGCTGGTTTGGTGCCCAGATGGGGGTGAGGGATCACCTGACAGGCAGGACAGGCCTCGCCACGGTCCCAGCCACAGTCGCTGCCACAGTGACCAACGAAAGGCGGGTAGCCGCTGAGCAGGATATAAAGGATGACACCCAGGCTCCACAGGTCACAGCGTTTGTCGTAGATGCTGGCCTCCTCGCTGAAGGCCTCCACCACCTCCGGAGCCATGTACTCGGCTGAGCCACACTGCAGGCCAGAAGGGTGCTGTCAGCCTGGGCCTCCTGCAGCTTGGAAATCCAGTGACAGCCTAACAAACAGCGGCCCCTCCCCGCCTCTCGCTCGGCAAATTAGAAGCCAGTGCTAGAGCCCACCTCGCCCAGTCAGCAGGTGCCCGGAACCTACCTTGCCACACCCTGACTAGCCACAGCTCTGCCTAATCCTAGGCCTCGCCAATCAGCAAGTATTTGGAATCTACCCGCCCCAAACCAGGCAATCCGGCTTTTGCTTCAGCCGAACCTTCCTTCCACCCCAAGCTTCTGTATCTGCCCAATCAGCAACTGCTGCCGGGAGCTCGCCCCGCCCAGCAGATGATGTGACCCGCCCTCCCTCCCAACCAATCAGAGGCTGTTGCTAAGCGGAAACTGGAGCTTGCAGGTTGAAACTGCAGAGGGCCACAGATGCCGGCTTCCCCTACAGCTTTCCCCTACACCTCTTTGTAGTGCCGCTGGCCCTGTGGGCCCTCACCGGGGTGAGCAGCTCTGGGGTGGAGATGGGGGAGCAGTCTCCATTGAGTTTGATGCCACTGCCCAGGTCGAAGTCGCAGATCTTAACAGGGGACACCTGAGGGGGAGGGGCGGTCAACAGGGGATTGTGGGAGGAGTCTGGCCCTACCCAGCAAGGAAGGGCACTCCCAGGGCCGTCCACCCAGAGCCCGGTTAGGGTTAGCCTGCCTCACCTGGTTGGGGTGCTCACAGAGGATGTTCTCTGGCTTTAGATCCCTGTGGGCAATGCCTGGGGGAAGCAGAACAGGGGTTAGAAATAGAGGCATCTCTAGAAATTCAGGCAGGTGGGCTGTACCTAGTCTGGGGACCCATAGGAACTCGGGAACCCTGTGGGCTGCACACCCTGGCCAGCCCCATAACCCACCTTTGTTGTGTAGGAAGTCCAAGGCACTGGCCACGTCCTGCACCACAACACTGGCCTCAAGCTCATTAAAGTGCCGCCGCTTATGGATATGGCTCAGGATGGAGCCTGGGATGAGATGCGGTGAGGAACAACATGAGTCACCTTCAAGGACCTAGGCCAACGCACAGCACCCACCTCCACCTTGGCAGGGATGCTCCCTACTAAGTTTCTTGGGTCACCATAGATAGGAAGTTCTGATCTCACAAAAGAGGGTCCTTCTGTGTCTAGCACCTTCTGAAAGGTCCTTCCTGGTGGTCCTGAACCTCCATCCCATAAGGACCCAGGTGGAAATGTCTCCTGCATTCCTACCCCCAACCAGGAACCCCTGCTTACCACCACGCATCTTCTCAAACACCAGGTAAAAGCGGTCCTCCTCCTCAAAGAACTCGATCAGCTCTAGAACATTCCTGGAATGAGGATACGGGCAGGAGAGAAAATGAGGCTTCCTGAGGCTCCTATGCATCCACTGCCCAGCCTAGGAGGGGCTGCCCTTCCCATGCCACCTGCCTACAGGAAGGCTGGGACTGGAACCACAGGCCTTTCCTGGCTGACCTGAAACTGCCAGTTGCCTGCCAAAGGGCCCACCCACAGCACCCAGCTGAGCCTGGCCAGTACCCTCCTGGGGTGATGTGGCACTCAGGCCCATTCATCCATGGAAAAATGGCTTGGGGCCCAGCACTGTGGTGAGGGTGGGTCACCTTACCTGTGTCCCTGGCACTGGTACAGCATCTCCACCTCCCGGAAAACCCTACTGCGGATGTGGCCTGGCTGCTTCTCAATGATCTGAAAGGGGCAGGGGAGACACACACTGCTTGGGTTAGCAGTACTGGCCCACAGCCCAAAAGGGGCAGGCAAGCCCCCCAGAAATCTGCCCTGAACCTGCCTGTAATTCTACTCTGAAAAGCTTAGACCATTCAGTTCTAAAACAGATATAGAAAGTAGAGCCCAGAATTTGCTCGAAGTCAGAACTGCAGTGTCAGCACAGGCGGGGGCAACATGTGTCTCCAGTGAGTAGCACCAGCAAGGGAAGGGAAAGGCAGAGACAACAAGCCAGTTGGGGTAGCTCCCACCCATACAATCTCAGAGGTGTATCGGGGGCTGGAGCTTCTGCAGAATATTCCTGCAGGGGCCCAGGGGGCTGGGACTGGGTGGCCACTATCCACTATCCTCCATGCACAAGCAGACCAGTCAGTTCTCTGCTCCCAGATGGCTGGTTCCCAGATGCCCCACGGAACTAGGAAGAAGCTCCTGTCACCTGACTGCCAGCCCAGGCAGTCTCCAACACCAAGTCCTGCCTCCCTGGCTCCATGCCAGACTAGGTAGATGGCCCTGCCCGCCCCTGAGCGTGGGTCCAGTCCTGTCAGCTGCCAGCCTCCCGGGCTCCCAGAACCTCAGGAAGCCAGCTGCCTCTGTAGTCACAGCCTTCTGCACCCAGTAGCTCTAAGAACTGGAGGATTCGGTATCCCAAATTTCTCCAGCCACTTTTGCTCTCAGAGGGGTGGGGAGAGAGGCCTCTAGCTCTCCTTGGGACCCTCTTGGATGCTTTTCCCAGGTTGGACACCCAGTTCCTCTCACCGTAATGTGTTAGAGGGTGTGGTAGGGGGGTATGGTAGGTTCCACTACCTATGTATTGTTCCATGTGGCTAATGAAAAACATAGCTGTCCCACCAAGGCACCCTGTGAGACATTCCCATCACCAAGCCACTGCTGAAAGCCCAATCTGGAGGTGCTTCCAGCAGTTCTGGATGAAACCCAACCTCATCCTGTCCCTGAGGAAGCTCGCTAGGACCCTGTTCCACTGACAGCTCAGTCTCTCCTGGCAGGGCAGTGGCCTACTGAGGTCACTGCTGGAATTCTGCACCCAGAGGCAGCCTCCCCCAGCCACAAGCACCTGGAGCCCCAGAAGCCAGAAGCCCCACATGCGGGATGGGACAACATTCTCAACCCCGTAGTAGTACGGCCACCCAACCCAGGTCTCCACTACTTCCTGTCTCCTATGCCCAGGCCACTTTCTCCCACTGTTACCAGACTTTAGTGGTCACTGGGACACCTGTACCATGAAGCCACCTGAGCTCCCCATATCCTAGCACTGACCACAATGGGTTATGAAAGGTGATAGGGAGGAGTCACCAAGAGGTCACATAGTATGACTCAGGCCACCTACCACCTCTGAGTCTCAGTTTCCCTATCTGTCAAACAAGGATAGGAAGCAATGCTGCCCTCAGGGTCACTAGAATGAAAGTAATCAGATGGATGCCTGCCTGGCATATCTAATTTTCCCGCACCCTGGTCCTGCCAAGCCTGTGAGCAAACGGGACAAGGGCCACTGGTTCGGCCCCAGGCTCCCTTAACTTCTGCAAAACGACTCTACCTTGCCTCTTAACCTCAGACACAGAAGCCACTGGCCAGGCCTGGCCATTCACCAGAGGCTGCAGGCTCTCAGCCAGTACCACTCGCCAAAGGGCATCTACTCTCCTGCCTGGGCAGCCACCACACTGGTGACCCCGCCTAGGTTGGAGCTGGCTATAGGGTCACGAGGGAAGCCTGGAAGTTTTCTTGGAACATGGGGCTAACCAGCTGGCCCTGTAAGCACAGGGCCATGTCAGGACCTTGTTTGGGCTCCAGTTCCCAGATCACTTGCACAAATCCAGAGATCAGAGGCCACACGGATGGGGGAGGGGGACACACAGGACATTTTCACGGGCCTGCACTAGGTTTCCCCAAATTCAGAGCCTCCTCTGAGGCCCAGGTATGACACAACTACTTTTCATTTTGCTTTGTTTTCTGAGACAGGGTCTGGCTACATAGCTCAAGCTGGCCTTCAACTCACCATGTAGCCCCAGGCTGGCCTTGAACTCACAGTCTTCCTGCCTCTGCCTCCCAAGTACTGGGATTACAAGTGTGTGCCACCATGCCTGGCAACACTGCCTTTTAGTCCCTGTAACCAATCTTCCAAACAACTGTCATCCTTAGAGGACACGCAAAGGTAGGGGCTAGCCTAAAGGACACGACAGGTCAGCACGACCTCTAATCAAAGCCCCCAGCTCTCAACAGCCATACTGGCTACCAGGTCCTTGGTCACTGGGGTGTGGGGTAGGTAGGGGCCAGCCCTCATTGTCACTTCCCACTGGAACTTGGTGCTCAGCAGGAGTGGTTTGAGTCACCAGGCCTGGGACCATTTTTAGACTGAAGCCATTTTCCTTGTGTGTTGTCTGGGAACGTGAGTAATACCCAACCCCAGCCGGCTGGTGATGGGCTGCCAGTGGCAGGGCAGCTCACCTTGACAGCATACTCGTGGTTGGTGATAAGGTTGACACAGGTCTGCACGCGGGCATGGGCCCCTTCCCCGAGCACATCCTCCTGCAGCTGGTAGACATCTGGGGAGCCATGGGGGTGGGGGTGAGGGACTATGGCCCAGCGCCATCTTCCCAACACCCTAGCCTGCTGTCCTACTCACCTTCGAACCTGCCTGAAAAGCTGTCAGTGGCACGACACCGCTTCTTCTTCCGGCCTCTCTTCTTGGCATCTGGGATGTCAATGGGTTGGCTTGCAGGCATGTCTGCACGAAGGGCCACAGGTTCAGGAGGGTTGCTGCCTGGCTTAGCCCACATCTCCACAGGGCCATACACTTACCCACTGGCACAAGACCCTAGATGCCACACCCCTACCCCTTGGGCCCTCACCAGGGCGGGCCTCGCACTGCAGGCTGAAGTCAGCGTCCCTGTGGTGGGCTGGGTCTAGGGAGAAGGCCAGTTCGAAAGGATTCTGCCCCTGCAGGATGGAAGAGAAGAAACTGTGAGGCCCAACCTTCCCAGGGTGGCCACCAGCACACAGAATGATTAGCCCATCCCCACAGTGCCAAGGCTGAGAGCCCCTGTGGTGCCAGGATGGAAAAAAAAATCAAATCCAATCCCTCAATCCCTGCCCACAACAGACACAAGATACACTTGCCAATGGGGCAGATGCTGTGAGCCAGGGGAAACCAGCTGTTAGGGTTGACCTCTCTCTCCCTCAACTCCATGTGTGACTCTCACTCTTATATATATATATATATATTTTTGGCAGCACTGAGGTTTGAACTCAGGACCACAGGCTTGCTAGGGAGGCACTCTTATCGCTTATGGTACTCCACCACCCAGTGTGTGACATTCAAAGTGGGCAGCATCCTAAGACCTCAACAGGGCAGGAAACTGAGGACAAAGAGTCTCCTGGGGCCCATGGGATCCCTTGACCATGTGAATCAATGTCTGGAGGCATCTGTTTGTTACATGTTCCATGTTCCTGACATGTAGAGGCCAGGGATGCTGTTCCATACTCTGTAGTGCCCATGGCAGCCCCCAACAGAGAAAGATCCAGCCGCAATGTCCACATACAGAGAGAAGACCTTATCTCTGTATGAGAAACTTGGCTTTCTATTCCCAGTCCAGGACTGAGTCTTGATGGGACCACATCTTGGGCCTCAAGTATGCTCATGTGAAGAATGGGGACAACCTCCCCAGTCAGCTGACCTCAGGGTGGGGCTGTGGGATGCCTGAAGCCTCCAGGTGGGGCAGCCAGCCTGCTTTCCCATGGCCTCCTGAGGCATCTCAGGGTGACTGAGCCCTACTTGGATGATCCTGGAAATGGCCCTTGGCCTTTCAGGAACTCAGTTTCCCTCTGAAATGGGGCACTGCCCCCTCTCATCTTGTTAAACTGCTCGCTCTCCTTTCCCCCTTGCCTGGGGCATCTGTGAATCCCAATAGTTAGTGTTCTGGGAAGCTGTGGAGGTGGTGGGCATCTCCTGCCCTCCACAGATTCTGCACTGCCCTTTGGGCACCTAGAACACCCTTATCACTAATCTGTAGTTGGCCAAGCCCTATTCATCTTCTGAGGACTATCAGCTCCACAGCAGTTGTAAATTCAACATACATGGCCCTATACCTGTTGGTGACCAAGGTCTAGCTGTGTCACTCCTGGCTCTGAGAGGTTCACAGTGAGGTACCATGTGCATGAGTGTGCTAGGCTCTTCCCACCCCATAGCTCACCCTGTCCCAGGTCAGCCAACTGCCCTGGAATGCCCCTCCAGGCCCTGGTACCCAGCTAAGAGGACCACCCCTCCTAGGGAGGGGCCTGTGGTATCCAAGGTTCAAACTCAGGCCTGGAGCTTGGGCAGGAGACCAAGGTGGTTGAACAGGTTTGAGACCCTGAGTAGGCGAAGCTGGGAGCTTTTCCCAGCCCTGAACAGAAGAATGCTGGAAAAAATATGTTTCCACAGGATAGATGATGCATGGTGGGCTGAGGCCCCTCTGCCTGAAGGGGTGGACCTTGCAAGCTACGAAACCAAGGCTGGGCAAATTCCTGGGTGAAGGAGCTCACATTTAGCCTCCCTGCCCTGAGAACCCAGCATGGGGCTTGGATGGGGTGAGAAATGCCAGTGGTGATGCCACGGGACCTAGTCCAAGTTACTGCTACTCTCTGGGCCTCCAGATCGTCAGGCAGGACTGACAGGAGGGTCACCTAGGAGAGAAGCCCCTCTCGGAGACCCTAGGTATTACTGAGGAGTCCCACAGCAGAAGAGGCCAAAGAGATGACTGTAGACCAGAAACACAGATGGGAGGCCAATGGTAATGAAAGGAAGGCAGGGTCCTTCCTGCCTCCCCAAAATCCTGCCCTGGCAGATAGTTGCTAGGAGGAGGGCAGAGAAGAGGGCATTCCAGCCAGCCCTATGGGAAAGCAGCACACATACCCAGCATAAGGCTCCTATCCAGAGGTGCCTGGGGGCCCCAAGGCAGCCATCACATAAAGGGGGTGACTAGGTGGACATGAGGCTTGAAGTCAAAGACCAGCTGTGGCACCTGCTATATGACATCAGCCTAGCTGAGGTCATGGCTAGACTGACATGGTGAGACATGCAGCAGCTGCTCTCAACTCTGGGAACCTCTCAAGGGTGAAAGGGGACAAGTTTGAGCCTCTGTCCCTACATGCTTGCCACAGCCTTTGATTCAGAATGGCTGAGACAGATAGGGCAATCAAAGTCACTGAGGTGAAGAACAAACCTTCAAGGAGCCAGGGCACTAGACATGGTCACCCACATGTAGGGGGATCCAGGTGCTAGTATGGATCCTCCATTTGAATCTTAAAACAAAGAAAATGGGGCCAGGGTGTGGCTCAATATGCTTGAGGCCCTGGGATCCATCCCCAACACCACCAAAAAAAACAAAAACAAGGAAAATGAACCCAGGAGACCTGGCAGGTGTGCCTCCCTCCCATGCTGCAGACTGGAGAGGTGGCCCAACCCAAGGGAGCAGCCATGCAGGGTGGAGTTCTGGGAGAAGAGTCAGTGAACAGCCCCTGGGTACCTTGGAGGGCTGCCTCAAGGCTAGGACTGCTGTCCAGAGCCCCTACTACCTCCCTCATGCACTCACACTGTCCCAACTCTAAGCTTGACTGTGTGATGGCCATGCAGAGGCTAGCCTGCAGTCAGTTTTAAGCAGTGTGGGCAGCCCCAGCCCAGCCCAGCCTGGGTCTGGCTGTGGGCCTTGAATCAGCAGGCCCTGGCAGGAGGCAGCTGGAACCATCCAGAAAGCTTGGGTTTGATTTGGCTGCTTTGTTAGCCCTGTGCTGGTCCCACTAACCCTCCCTACACTCCCACCCAGCCCCAGCAGGGAAAGACCACTATAGGTGACATCTCAGATTCCCGCCCCCCCCAAATATACACACACTGACCCAGTCCCAACACTCTGCTGGCCAAGGCCACAGCTGCCCTGGGGGAAACAAGGATGACAGGCATGTGGGGCAGGGGTGGGGTGGCTGGCTGGGGACACTGGCTGGACAGGCTGGGAATTCTTCCACAGGCTCCACATGCTCCTCCCACACTGATGTGGGTGCGTGTGGACACACCATAACACACACACACACACACACCATAACACACACACCATAACACACACACACACACACTCTCTCTCTCTCTCCCTCTCTCTCTCTCTCTCTCCTGCCTTCTCTACAGGGCAACAGGTCTCTGCCTAAGGAAGCCCAGGGAAGCAATTACATAACCCAGCCTTTGGGGTGGGGCAGGCAAGCTGACATCACTGCATCCCCTGGGCCAGGCCCCATAGGGCCTCTACACAGCACCTGCCCTCCTCACCGCCCCCAGATTCTCTCATCTGAGACCAGGACTCAGCAGTCACCAGACCTCTGCAGAAACTTCCCGCTCAGACAGGAAATAGAACTTGGGTCTGGGGTGTCTGGGAGGGGCATTCAGTCCACTCCATTTCACAGGCTACTGGAGGGTGGGGGCAAGGGCACCAATCTAGCCAAGGATTCCTGGAAGAAGGTCCCCACAAGCCAAACAGAGGTGGCAACGGGCCTGTGGCCTATTGACCCCTCCCAAACAGCTGCACAATTAGCTAGTGCTTGCAAGGCATATCACCACTCTCGCCTGGGATTCCGGGAGGAGAGACCACAGGCAGCACTGGGGACTGAACTACAGCCTGTTGACCCCCTACCCCGACCCCAGCACACACTTGGCGGGGGCTTGCAGGGGACACAGAGCCCAGCCTGAGGTTCCTGGGAGAGGCCCCACAGGTAAGAGCTGGGGACAGGACTGAGGCCTGTTGACCTCTCCCTCCAGCGCACGCCAGGCTGGGGAACTCCCGGGCTTAGGCAGGGGCCCCCGCACGAGTCTCCGGGGCGGGCCCAGTCTTCCCACCGGTCACTCCGGTGGTCTAGCCTGCAGCGCCCCCAAACCGAGCCAGCCCTCACCTTGAACGAACGGTGAAAGCCCTGAAGTTCGGCTGTTTTCTTCTGCACCATCTTCTGTCCGGGCCCCGCCAGCGGGGGAGGGGACGCAGGGCCCTGGGGGCGGCCCGTGGGCGGGGGGCGGCCGGGAAGGCGACCCTGCGGTTGGAGCAGACAAAGGAAGGGCGGTAAGCGGTGGCGGCCGGCCTGTGGGGAGCGCGGCCAGGCGGAGGCGGCGAACGCTTCGCGGGGCCCACTCCCCGTGCCCGGTTCGGGGTCCCCGGGGTCGCTCGGGGCCGCGCTCACCGAGGTCGGGCTCGGGCCGGGGCCGCAGTGCCGCTGCCGCCCGACGTCGCACAGCCCGGACCCCGCTCCGCGGACCGCGCGGGGAACAGCGCCGCCACCGCCGCCACCGCGGACTCCTCTGCCAGCGCAGCCGCCGCGAGAGGAGCCGGGCGCGAAGCCACCGTCGCCGTTTTTATAGACCCGGCCCCTGCCTCGCCCCGCCCCCGACACCGCCTCCGCCCCGGACACGCCCCCGTTCGGGGCAGGGGCGGAGCGTGAAGGGGCGCTCAGTGCGGCTGCGCGCTCTGGGTGCGGGGCGTGTCCACGACGGCCCGCTTGCTCTTGCGCAGTACGGTTCCCGGGGATCGGGGGACGGAAGTACAGCTTCTTTTTCCGAGGCACCTGCGGTCTTCTACCGGTCTTGGGCTTTCCGAGGCTTGGGGTCCACGGAGCCCTGGCACTGAGCGTAGTTCTGCTGTCCGGTCCTGAGGAGGGCAACACCCCGAGTTTATGTGCAGCGGCCTAAGATACAAACGCCCTTGGGTCATATCCTTATTTTACACCCAGCCAGGGCTCCCTCTTACAGTTCCCCCTATGCTGGCCTTCTCGCGTACCTCCAGCACGCTTTTAGGACCATTTTCTTCCTCCTCTTAGTGGTGGAGGACTGTCATCACTTTATACATCCTGCCTAAGCTTGGCCATTCCTGCCCAGGAAGCTCCCAAGAATTTGCCTCATTGTTTGGCAGGGGCCAGTAGAAGAGTTGGGGACAGATTTGTGAAGGGCTTTCCTCCGTGCTGTAATAGCATTTCAGGAGGAACCGGGACCCCCGACTGATTGGGAAGGAGTCCCTGGGGTGGGTGTGGCCAGGACAGAAGGTACAACACAATTCTGTTTAGGCTGAAAATGTGGTACCAGGTTTGGATAGAATCAGATCCTCCTGCACCTGTCAGCTCTGCATCCCGCAGCAGCCTTATGAGGCCATGCCATGGGCATAAAGAGCCTTCCCTCAACAGGAAAGCTTTTCCTTCCAGAAGCTTTCCACCCATTCCTACTGTCTTCCAACCAGGCCCTGAGCTGTCTGCTTGCTGTTCTAGAACCACAGGGGCCTTTGGAGGAGGCTGCAAGGAATCTTAGCCAGTCGTTTAGCTGTTGGTGTTCTTTGAATCTTGTTCATAGATTTAAGCTGTGTGTGTGTGAGAGAGAGACACAGAGAGAGAGAGAGAGAGAGAGAGAGAGAGAGAGAGAGAGAGAGAGAGAGAGACAGAGAGACAGAGACGTTGGCTCCAGGTGCCTGGGTGGAGCTGCTAGACCTGCCTGCTCAGGAGACGCCTCACCACCCTGTTCTACTCTCCATGCCCCTTCCCTGCCTGGCTGTCCTCTCCTACCCTTGCCTCCAGGCCCTCTCTTGGTGTGTGTGGTAACTGCATGTAGGGATCAGACTTTGCTGTCACATGCCATGCATGTGCTTCTCTATATCAAAGATGGTCAAATGTCAGCTCCATGAGAGCATAGATCTGTCCCTGCTATGTCCAGGGACCAGGCCAATTCCTAGCACACAGGGGACTGGCTGAATATCCCCTGGAAGGATGTGTTTGTGCACATGGACATGAGTGTGTGTGTATGCACATAGGGTTATGTATACGGATTCCTGGGGTTGTGGTAACATTGGCCATCAGCTGGGTACTTTAAACAATAGAAATTTATTCTGTTATCCTTTGGTGCCCAGAGTTTTGAGATCCAGGTCTGGGCAGAGCTAAACTCCCTCCGATGTTACAGGGAGAGTCCTTCCTGCTTCTCTTAACTTCTGGGGTTCCAGGCATTATGTGGCTTATGGCCTTGTTACTCCAGTCACACAACCTGTGTCTCTGTGTCCACGTTTCTCTCTTTAAGAGGACACTTGTCATTGCAGCAGGGCCTACCCTGAATAGAATCAGACTTTTGGGGCTCTATCTTACTTATTTTAACAGGGGGTTGAACCTTTTGCAAATGCCTGTACCATTTGAGCCATGCTCCCAGTCCTTTTGTTTGTATTTTGTTTTTGAGACAGGGTCTCACTAACTTTGCTCAGGCTGGCCTCAAACTCGAAATCCTGCTGCCTCCACCTCCTGAGTAAGCTGGGATCTCAGGTGTGATCAGGGCTTAATCTTAACTAATTACAAATTCAAAGACCTTGTTTCCAAATAAGTCCTAACCCACAGGTACAAGCATTAGTGTGTGGACAGATCTGTCCAGGGGACACAACTCAGCCCAGGATGGTAAGTAACAAGTGTTTCCTGGCATTTAGCTATGGTGTGTGTTCCTGGGGTTGGGGTTATTTGTGCCCATTCTCAAGTGTGGCCCATACAAGCCTGTTCCCAACACCAGAGCTAGGGCACTGTCACAGGGCTGTTAGGTGCCCCTAGCCCCAGTAAATGGGTCCTTTTAGGAGCCCCATGTTGCAGGTGGGGAAACTGGAAGCTAAGAGAGGGAAGGTGTGGTCTGGTCTTGGGTTTCTTCTACCCTAGGCATGGTGGACACCAGGCTTGGTCATGCTTTGGGGTGACCACCTTGGGCACTTCAGGGTACAAAGCAGCATCCCTGGCCTGCACCCACTCCATGCAGGAGCTCCCCAGTGGTAACAGCCATACATGTCCCCTGATGTTGGCAAGTATCCTGGGGGTTGCAGGTCACCCAGAGGGACCTCCTACTCCCCCACCTCCTGACCTCCCCCACCTCCATGCGAGGAGTGGGGCTGTGAGGGCAGCAGAGATCCAGTGAGTGCTTGGAGGCCCTGTGCCTATCCCTGGGGCACACACATGGGTTCCTGCCTGCATCCCGAGGGACGTGCTCTTGCACACTCACGTGTCACGGGTGCAGGCTCTCTGGTGAGCTAAACCGTACAAGGACGTGCTTTCTGCCAGTGCTTACCCCCTAGGATGGGACAGGTTGGAGATCCACAAAGCACTTGGCCTGTGATAGGAGACTGCGCGGGTCGAGGTGTCCCCTACACACCTGGGTGGGGGCAGCTGTGGGGATGGGAAGCAGGGCCTTCTGCTGTACATGCACCATGCAAGGCCTGCAAGTACGCTGAGTCCTGCCCTGCACTCAGCCCTGCTCTGCCCTGTGGGTTGCATCCTTTCTTCTAGACAGATGCTCTGTTTACGAGCCAAGATCCCAGAGGAGCTCCCAAGCTGGGGGTGATGGGTCTAGGCAGCAGGGGGAGCCCACCTGGCCTGGTGGAAGGACTGATCTGGCAGGGGCAGGAAACCTGGGCCTGGCCTCTGATCCCCTGTTTCCTCTGTTCTTTTGGAGTGGGGCTGGGCTAAGCTGGGTTCAGAAAGTGACTGGGGTGGGACCAGTGGGGGCAAAGGACAGACAGGCTTGTGCTTGTGTGGGCAGGCTGGCAGGCTAGATGGACAGGACCCAGGAAAAGGATGGCCTTCTATGGGAGGCAGCCAGCCTAAGGGGGTGGGCTCAAGAGTGCCCCAGGGGACCCAGAGCAGAGAATGTCCTGGAAGGCTCTGGCCCCCAAAAGGAGGCAAACAGGAAGTGAGGCTGGGTTTGGCACAATTCCCTAGTTCTGGGCTCTCCCTGTCCCCTCTTCCTCCTTCCATACCCTCACCTTTTTTTTTTTTTTCTTTTTTTCCCCCGAGTTGCTTGGGATAAAACCCAGGTCTTTGGGTAAAACCACTGAGCCAAACCCCAGCCCTTGTTTTTTGTTTGTTTTTGTTTTGTGCAGTACTGGGGTTTGAACTCAGGGCTTCAGGCTTGCTAGGCAGGCACTCTACCACTTGAACCACATCTCCTGCCTCAGCCCTTGTTTTTTGTTGTTGTTTTGCGGTACTGGGGTTTGAACTCAGGGCCTCCTCCTTGCTAAGCAGGAGCTCTACTGCTTGAACCACACTCCCCAGCCCTTTTTGCTTTAGTTATTTTTGGGTTAGGGCCTTCATATTTTGCATGGCTGGTCTGGACTGTGATCCTTACACCTACAGCCTATTTGAGTAGACATGATGACAAGTGCACATCACTAACTTTTTGCCCCAGATGGCCTCCTCCCAATCTCAGCCTCCCAACCTTGGCCTCCTGAGTAACTGGGATTATAGGCACAACCCACTGACTGTACATTTTTTGAGACAGAATCTCACTATGTAGCCCAGGCTGTACTGCCACCTGTGTGCCTGGGTCCATGCACACAAACTTAGCATCATCCTGCTTCCATCTCCCAAGTGCTGAGATTATAGATAATGTGCCACCATGTCCAGCTCACTCATCCTTTCCTTCATAGCTCTCCTCAGCAGACTGGCCCACTAACAGCAGATTGGCCCTCTTCCTCCACTAATAAATGCACACCCAAAATTGCATATACTCTCCAAGACAAGGACAGGGGCCCTGTCCCCCGGGAGCGCTCATATCCCCTGTACACTAAATGTGTTACTCAGACCCTGGCCTGGTCACTAGACACCCCTGTATCACCCTATCTGCCCAGTCCAGGGCTGGCTTGGAACCATTTTCAGGGCACCCAGGACCTGGACCTGGTGGGGTGGAGGTATGGGACAGTGTCAGATGCTTCTGTCTCTCCTCTCCCCCTCTGGCCCTGTCCTGGCTTCCTGTCTTGGAAGTCTCCATAGGGTTGAGTCCAGCTCCTGTGCCTGTTAGGTGCTCTAGACCAAGGCTGTGGGGGCTCCTCTAAGGCAGGGTGGGGCCTGAGCCCTGTGGGTGTCCCCCAACAAGGCCCATCCTCCCTGGACAGCTCCTGCCCCTGCCCCATCTGGGCACAGTGGGCATCATTTCCTGGAGCAAATGAGAATGGACACTGGCAGGGCCTTGGCTTACCTTACCCCATTTCAGGGTACACAGGTGGCAGAGCAGGGCTAGGGGAACAGTGATGGAGGAGCTTGAGTGGCCACATACAGTGTGGGCAGGTGTTAGGCTCTAGGATCCTCCCTGCCCCAGAGCTCTGTCTTTGTCTCCACTTTACAGCCACTCAGGCCCCCGTGTGGATCTACTGTCCCATTTGTCTTTAGCACCAGCGATCCCAGCTGGCCATTTGGACTATACCCCAACTCTGGGAGAGTGGCCTGGGGCCTATAGGATGCCCACTGATGTTCCATTTCTGTGGGCTGGCCCCAGCATGTCCTGGACCCCAAGCCACCTCTGCCATCCTCACAGCTACTTTCCCAGGG